CCAAAAATGTTGACTTGAATACTTCAGAATTTATAACATTTCAAAGGGCAAGAAACTGTTACAGAGTCAATTTTTAAATCAACATGGCAAAATCTGACAAGAATGTTATGAATAGGCGTACACTTTTCTTAAAAAGATTACTAAATAAATTAAAAATATGGTAGTAAGAAGAAAAAAAGGAAATGAATAACAAAACTCATTAAAGTCAATACCAAAGGTAACATCTTAAACTAAGATTTCAAAACAAGGCTTCCATACTATTTACTTATTTTATGGACAAAATAACATTGAAACAAGAAAAAACTGAGAATAAATTATCTTTAAAAAATTGAAAAAAATGACTGAGTTTACCATTGATAATTCTAACGGCGCGAGTAGCGAGAGCGGCCGTTAACAGGCGAATAAGGAACAGATCGCGATGTTCTATTCCTTCTATTGATATCTTTGCCGCCTCCTCTTGACTTGTCTGGAAAAAATGCAAGAGATCAAAATGGTCACAAATAGAAATACATCATACATACATGGTGTATCTTGAGTTTTAAGTATATGAAATGTAAAGAGACTGAAGGGATGGAATAACCCACCTTGAAGGGAAAACCAATAAAAATCCTTAATCCAGCAATGCATTGGACAGCAAGAAAATTTCAAAAATTCCTTCGTAAACTCAAAGATGACATCCTTGCCTTCAGAAGTAACAGATAATGAGATTTTTCCAAAGTGACTTATAGATCATTTGGCAGAGGGAATCTAAGTATATACGTGAAGAATTTGGAAAAAAATATGGACCCACAATAATGAAGAGAGTTTTCAAAAATACCACTCATATCCAAGTATATTTCTGTTTCAATCAACATCGCATGAAAGCAATCACCTTGACAGATAATGCAGGAATGTACACAAAAACACAAACCACACAGAACTTGGAAGTGAAATGAAGGAGGCACAAAGGAATGAATACTCGCTAAGGGTACTGGAAGGGTATATATAATGGAGTCTGGTAGAGGATGCCTAAAAATAGAAAGTCCAGGGCGTCTACTAAAACTGACTGACAAAAAATCAGTGCTTAAACAGCACTTTTTCAGTACTTCCCCGAGACATTCAGGACCTCCTCGATGAATTTTTTCAGTATATTCATGTGACGAAATTCGCAAAATTCCAAAAATTCGACATTCTTGCGCGCATCACGACCTTTGCTCTTGGGTAGTAAAGAATTTAAGATACACTGACTGCCCAATCGCAATCTACCTGGTAAACATTGTACTAAGAATCAATATACAAAGGACTGGTTACTTTTCAGGCTGCCTTAAAATACTTGCGTGGTATGAAACAAAAAATTCTGTACTTTTTTAGTACTTCTAGACCATCTCTAAAAAATCAGTGCTATTTAAGGACTTTCCTGACTTTCTGGTCTAGCACACACCCTGAACTCGTGTTGTTAGTACAGCGAAAAACACAGGTGACAAAAAGAGCAAAGGAAAAAGATTATCGATCCTCAGTTTTCGAAGTTTGCACACTTCTTGGTTGTTTTAAAAATATTGAGTCAAAGTTTCAAGCCATAAATTAGATTACTGATAGAGTTTTCACAATTTATTCATTTCCCAACTCCCCAACTTGTTATGCTTTTTCCTAGCTTTTCCCAGACCTTTGACCAAAACCTGTTAGATATTTTTCTTTTCATTAGTGATACTGACTTCTACTAAGTTATGGATGAAAGCTTCACTTCTGGAGATCAAAATTAAGAAAAAAGGCAAGTAGAAGTCGTTCACACTCTCTCGACAAGTTGCTGAGCCAAAGGGTTACTTGCAAAATTCCACGACTTTCCACGTTTTCTAGATCTCCAGAAACCTCATAATAATGATGTTAAAATCATTTAAACTGAATTGTATTGAAGGGGGGGGGAGGAATAGTTCTGGCAAATCACTTAAATTTCACATTTATTGCCATAAAACTTTGAATTGCTACTAAAAGGTCAATTTTTCAAATGTTTGGGTGTTCTTTGCGCCAAATGAGGTAGAATTAACTCGTCCAAACTGGTGTGCAGTTATCTCGGTTTTTTTCCACCACCTTAAGGCACACTTACTCAACACAGTTACACAGTTTCACCTTACTCTTTCACACAAGTTGAAAAATAAAAAGGTTCACAACATAGACTACTGGACTTGGAATGAAAAAACCTTTTTGTTGAAATCAGTTGATGTTATGATGAATTTAATGTAATGATTATCACTTGAGGTAGTTGTTCAGCACTGATACGATAATCAATAAATCAATTAAAATCAATTAATAATTTCTGGATTTGGGGACATTCCTCAAAAATTTCCTGGCATCTCATCCTGCTGTGGTATATCAAAAGTTTGGAAACAAAACTTGAGTCAGAAACACTTTGAAATAAATCCAAAAGTACATACTGAGTGACTCGACTATCAGGAGGGACAATTAATAAAAGTAAGACAAGTAATTGAAACAATTCCACTATTTCAGCACATTCCAAAAAATCAAGCACTTTCAATACTTCGAGACAAAATTTAAAAACAAGGAATTTTAGGGGGTTTGTTGAATCAGGCTGCACAAACCATGCTTTGTTAGAACTGATTCTTTTGGTGCATAGTTAGCAAATAATTCTTTTGAATATTTTACTGTTTTGCACAAATTTGAATTATCTGATTAACCTGGGTTGCCACAAAATAAAGAAAATTAAATTTCCTGACGTTTCCCTGATACATTGGAGTAAAATTTCCTGACGATTGAAAATATGCCATACAGCCAAAAAGACATAATTTGAAATAGTTTCTAGGCAAGATTTGTTGTTCTAAACGTCAAATTCATTCTAAAAAGCTAATAAAGGTAAATTAACAACTTTTCCTGCAACTTATGTCATTTTTCCTGACACTTCCAGGTTTTCCCTGACATTTTCTGGTTTTCCCTGGTATTCCCTGACTGTGGCAACCCTGCAAAAATCGCTACCAGGGAAAATTTTCCGACATGCTTGGGGGTATATACTTTCCAACGGACAGTTGAAAACATTGAAAAAAGCGCTCGATGATAGGACATGCCTCCTTACCAATGAAGTTGGCTGAGTGCTCATCCGACAATAGAATCCGTCCCTTCCGACTCCTTCAGCTAGCCCTGATTTGTGATGCCATTCAGGGATATATAATAGTGAGGGGATGATGGATGGGACTTTGCACATATATGAATGCTAGGATATTGTCTTAATGAGTTTCCAGTGCAAGAAAATATTCTTAGACTCTTATGAAATTGATTCACTTGAACGTGGAGCAAATCAGTGCAATTGGCATAAAGGGTTTTCATGAAGGGTTTAAAAGGCTGGTAAAACTTAGAATATTTCGAGGCCTTTGCAAGGCATTCAAAACTATTAGATGCTTACTGTTTTAAAACTGTAAAACAAAAACGAAGGGGAGATGGACAAGCCGATTGAAATGAGATAGAAAAAGGGGAATAATATCGCAAAATGATCTCAAATTTCATGACTCAAATTAAAAAAAACACCTCGAGAGACAGAAGAAGAAGTTGAAAACAAAAAAATTAAAGGCAAGAGAATGCATGATGGGCACATTCACAAACAAAAGTAGTAACTTAGGAATCTGAAGCTTTCTAAAGGGTACATGTATCAGATTCTTGTTGAAGAGACAGACTTAAATTAAAGAACTTGTCCAAATACACAATATATGAAGGGAGCTTTTAACTCTCCAATGACATCAAAGTAAAAACTTGGCTATAGCACGGCAATCAAACGTCCTTCAATCCATAGGTGACAATCTCATTACTGTCATGGAACTGAATAGAACATCTACTGAGCAAGAGGACACGAAGGTAAACAGACAGCAGGATATGGGTGCCGAAGTGAGGGTGAGAAAATTGTGATAGTTGAGTGGAAGAAAATTGCTACATTCCAGGTGAGAATGTAGTGATATTCTAGGGCGAAAATATAGTGATATTCAAGAGCGAGAATATAGTGATATTCGAGGGCGAGAATGTAGTGATATTCAAGGGCAAGGTGAGGAAAGGAGGTAAAATCTAGCCATGAAGCAATTATCTCTACAGACGCAAACTGGAATAATTTCAGGTAGCAAAGATGAAATCAATCATTCGGGCGCAGATGTGGAGGAAAAAGATGGCAGTTTCTCAGGGAGGTCGAATCTAGGGAATGAGAACAGGAACTTCTGGGAAAGGCTCCAATGGCTTAACGATGGTAAAACTACCAGACCATGTATCTCTTTGCGGAGTTTAAAAATCTCAACTTACATTTTATTTTTGAAACAGAATAATTCAATACAATTCCTTGAAGTTTTCTGTGAGTTTTCTTTGCACAGAAAAGAAAAATCACGAAAAAGATCAAGAATCAACGCTAGGTAGTTTTCCATTTAAAAAATAAAGTTTGACGGGAAGTCTACAACGTCACAAACCGAGATACGTGGTCTGGTAGTTTCACTGTCGTTATGAAAAAGTGAGTAATCACTGCATAAATGTGCATTTGGGAATTTATTTTGTCTCTGACATTACATTTTGACACTTTCAAGAGTCGTAAAGGGCTAATTACTTGGAATAAAAAGCTTTAAAAAATCCTTGAGCCCTTGTGAGAGCGGTCACATGGATTCCCTTCCAGTTTCATTGAAAGAATTAGATTTCAGAAAGAGCTGTACTGGGAAATAGGTACGGAAAATCATGTACACAGATATGATAAAAATAGGACCTATATTTGTAACATCTGTTATTCTCTTTTTTTCAGTACAGCACTTTCTGAGATTGAGTTTTTTTAATGAGACTTAGGAGGAAAGGAGAGGATTCTTCTTGCAAGTATTAAATAATTTTTCTAAATTTTTTGCCATGTATAATTAGCCTTTACATCACTTTAAAGTGGCAAAATGTGGAGTTTGTGGCCCAAAAAAAAAAAAAAAAAAAAAAAAAAAAAAAAAGAGCTCCCTTGTGTATTTTTCTATTATTGAAACCCTTCAGGAAGTAAGGATTTGAGTTGGGAATTCTTTGATACTTTTCCAGGAAAGTCCTCAGTTTGAAAACAGAAAAAATCTCACTTAAATCTCTGAGAGCAAAAAAATTGTGCTGTTTGAGGACAGAATCGGCTCCTCACTTGTCAAGTCTGTCAAAGACTGATGTTCGTGTGGATGAGGGGGCAGGGGGATTGGGATGGCTGACATTAGTATAAGGTGGATGATTATCAGAGCTGACAGAGGAAAGATTATGTGAAGAACTGGGTTCGGATCTGTAAAAGTGAAGACCATTTTGAAAGGAAGAAGGAAGTGGAATAGACTCGCCGGCATGGCCTACGTAGCTGGCCTGAAAATTATCAATAGAAGGGGATGGATAAGATGATCCTGATGGAAATGAACACTGTTGATTATTCTGAGCAGGAGGGTGAGCAGCAAACGTAACGCTGAAATTGTATGTAGCACCATACGTAACGCTGGAATTGTGTGTAAAGTATTGGGTATTGGCCAAGGGCACAATTTCTTGATAAGAATGTGGAATTTGACTAAATCTGGTTACATCAACAGAAGACCTGAGAAGGCAAGCATCATTTTGTACATATTGAGAATTTTGTGTGGATGGAGGCAAAAAAAAGTGACCAGACGAAACTGATGGAGGCAAGGCAGGCGAAGTGGGCTGCACTACCGCAGCATGTGTGGAACTGATGGATTTCCTGATCGAATGATACATTGTATGATGGTCTTCTCCACAAAAACCGCACCTTTCTTTATTCTTGCATCCAGATGTTGAGTGTTCTTGACTCAAACACTTAGTGCAACGAAAGCACCTTGCCAAATATCTCAAACGAGTGGCAAAAAGCGAAGTTTGCCACTTTGCACACCGGAACATATCATGTTTATATGATCTACACAAAGCACATTTGGGAGTGTGGCTTGATTCAGTGACTCTTTGGGAACTGACTTGAGAAATATCCTCTTGACAAAAACGAGAAATTGGATTGGATTTAGCTTCAGAAATATTCAGAGAGGGGCCAAGAGGAGTGGAAGAAGACTGATTGGTAACAGTTGCTGGAGGGCGAGTGAAATCCTCAGGACGCAGAGGTCCATTATTCTTCCGATGCAAAGGGGCGTGATGGTGTTTACCTCGAGTTGGGGCACACTTGGAGGAGCTACTAACAGCGTTTGTTACGGTGGCCTTGGGGATGGAGATGCGTTTGATTGCAGTTTGGATACTTGATTTGGTTTGGTTGATTAGTTTGATTGGTTTTGGTTTTGTTTGATTGATTAATTTGATTAGTTTTGGTTTCGTTTGGTTGATTAATTTGATTAGTTTTGGTTTGGTTTTGTTGATTAATTTGATTGGTTTTGGTATAGTTTGATTGATTAATTTGATTGGTTTTGGTACGGTTTGGTTGATGGATTTGATTTGGAAATTTTTGGTTTGTGTTTCTGCAGGGACGGAGGAATCGTCAACAACAAACATGTTCCTGCTAGAACCAAAGGAAGGGAGTAGAGAGGACTGAAGGAGGGCTTCACCAAGCGTTTCACTTCCAGATAAAAGTGGATGCAACTTTCTCTGATTAATTTGGTCTGCGACTGAAACCACAGGTGAATCAATGCTTTTAGAAACTTTTAACAGCGCTGAAACAAAGAAAGACGGTCAAAGAAGGTCTATTAACAGAGCAGGGTTACATTTTCTGAGTCGAGTATTTGAACCATGGCCAACATCATAAGAAACTGACAGTTTATCTCATACAGAAAATCTAAAATACAGCTGAAAAGTTCTGAGGGAAGAAGAGAAAGGAAACCATGAATAATCAAAGCTGAGACTGGATCCGATAACAGGGTTGCCATAATTTTTTCATCTTCTAATTCCCAGACTTTCCCTGACTCAAAAATTTTTGAATTCTTTGACAATCGAATGAAACAGCCACTTTGATTTATTTTTTCCTTTAAAGTACACTCACTTCTGCTAAATGCTGGCACAATAAATGCCCTGACTTTTTGTGTGAATTCCCTGACTTTCCCAGTTTTCTCGACCGCTGGCAACCCTGGATAGGGACATAAAGAGGAACCTGCTTCAGTCTAGAAATTTCAATGTTTTGCAAAATGAAAGTGTGTGTGTGAAGCATTCAGAGCTAAAAATTCAAGATTGGAAAATTGAGAAATGCTGAAAACTTTGAGGAATATGCAAAACTTGACACTGAATTTGGGATACTTCAAAGGCCCTTCTACTCTATTGTTTGCCAACCTCAAGTGAACGACGGTACTCAAGTCAGAAAAGGTATTACTTGAAATTGAGATGATAGAGGTCTTTATGGGCCCTTCGAATGTTCAATAATTTCAAAACTGGAAAACGTAGGAACAAAAATATTATTAGTCATCGCGTTTATGGGATGTGTTCCGTTTTGCATTTTTGGTAGAAGTAGTACTTCTTGAGGTAAATCACCCACAAATGCTTGAAGACTCTTTATGTTTTGAGCAGAGATGCAAAGAATGCCTGATCTTGCCATTCAAAGTTTGCAGGAAACACGATGAAACCCTTGGGCAGAGTGGAATTTTTCCCAGAATATTTTCCTTAAGACAAATAGAAGTTTTTACTGTAGGGCTAAAGTACTGGGCCGCGCAAAAAAAGTCCACATTATAGAACTTATTGCACTCTTGATTTTTGGGATTAAGTCTCTGGGAGGAGAACTGTGCCTCAAAAAGAATTCCTCCAGTTTATTCTTCTTTACCTTTTTCCGTTCAAAACAATTCTGCTGTGGACAGAAAGGATAACAGACTGATAATTAAAATTGATAGACAAAGCGATTGACAAAAGAGATAAAAATAAAATGGAGGGATTTTAATAGTGACAGCAGGTGTTTGCAATGGACAAAAGAGGTAAGTAACAGACTAACTAAAAGCAACCCACCAGAGTTAGTCTCTCTCTCTCTGTTAGTCTATAACAACCACCCATTTCAACCAATAGGATCGCTCCATACTCCTAATGTCCTTTTTGTCTATCGCTTTGTCTATCAATTTCAATAATCAGCCTGCAGGACAGAGAATCAAGATTTAAACTGAGAAACTTACAGGGCTCATTGCATGAGGAGGATTTTTTCTTCGAACCGACAGACGATTTATTGGGAGCAACTTTTTCCATTTGTTCCAGCATATTCTGAACATCGATATATTCCTTGAAACCATCTGGCTTGTATGCAAGGCTCACAACATTTTTCAAGGCGATGTTTTGGACATTGCCTGGCAGACGTACATTCCACGATAGACCTTCAAATGAAAAAGAAAGTAAAATACAATACACTTAAAAAGCTAGTTACACACACTGCTTACATTTATGCCTAGTTTGGTGGAAATCGACTGTCAGGCTTTGAAATCGCAATTACATTGTGTTCATTTGCTGATCAGACGAGATATGAAAAGAAAATAAAGATTCATTTCAAAAATTTAAAAAAGTAAAGTCTCAGGAATGAAAACGCATTCTGTGGATATTAAGAAGAAAACTAACATGATCCATAGATTGAAATCAACTGTAATGAGACGGTTGAGAAAGCACTTGAAATGCACTCAAAAAGGGCTTCCATGAAATTTAATGTCATTTAATTTGATATACAACATGAATCAAGCGTTATCATATTCATTTTAGCCTTCTAATTAAAAATGTTCACTATTTTTCTTAAAAACAAAATTTCCTGCGTTTGTCTTCACAATTATCCTTGTTTATGCAAAGTCAGAATTAAAGACTTTAAGAAAGATAAACCGTTAGTTTCCTGCATGTCATTGATAAAAAGAGACAAATTAGTGAAAATTAGATTTTGATATTTGCCATGGATATTTCCTTGAATCCCATAATTTTTTATGATTTTTATCGCTATTTTAGACTATTGGCGTTTTTCCTCATATTTGGCAAAATTTTCACCTTACTTAACATAGCAGAGAATGCACTGTGAAAACTATTCACAAGGGAAAAGCATACAATTTTCACTTGATACTGCCATGAAGTGCTAAGATTTCCTATTTGTATTTTACTCAGTTCTTTTCTGAAATCCCCATTTTACCGTTAATATTTCTCACAGATAAAATTCCCTTTATTTTACCAGTCTTAAAAAACCCTACTTAAACCTAGGAACAAAGAAGATAGTCTCCTTTGAGTAAATGATAGCAAATATCAAAATCATGGTTTGCAAAAGCCTGTAACTTGTTACATAAATTTTCTGATAGGCCTTTCCTGAACCCAATTGGGCGAAAAATTCACATTTCTACAGCCATTTTTTCGCGACATGTAAAAAAAAACCCCTCATTTAGAATTTTCTAGTCATTTTTCACTTTCCAACTTCACTCTGTGGAAACACAGCAATATCAGGAATTTATGTGTGATCTTTTAGCTTGGATGGTGCGACTTTTCAAGAAGGTTTTCATGAAAACTAAGCAAGTTAGTGTGGTCAAATGCTCAGAGTATCCAAGATTGCCTTCCATGTCGGTACAAATCTGTAGATAAATGTTTTCTGCAATAAATTCCCCTTAGAAATTCAAACAACGGTAGGTATTACTGTTAATCCTCACCTCCTATTGCTATGGTATACCTGCCGCAGAGACGTTGAGAGAGAAGATAATTTCTAATGAATAAAATCAATTGGATAGTGGAGGCACCATTTCTAAAGGGCCCAAAGACTTCAACAAGGCTCAGAAGGTTTGCTTGCTAGCATCTCCTAGCTTGGAAATCTGCCACTGTCAACTGCTTGACAATTTCAATTTCCGTGACCATTTAGTGGAAGAAAATTTTCAATTCTCATAAGAACGTCAACAGATTAGTCGATCTTGCATCTATAAGATCGAATCTTTTATCACAGTAAAAGATGAACTGAAAAATCAAAATTCTTCTAAACTTTTTTGTAAAATTCTTTGACTTTTCCCTGACACTTTAAAAAAAAGAAATTGCTTGACTACCTTTAGAAAAATGAATTTTGCACTGCTGCTTTTATAAAAGACTAGTGACATATTTTTGCACTGTAGGGTATCTTGGAAATTGCAATAATCACATATTTGCTAATTATTTGCGTGGGTAACTAGTACACCTAAGTGATTGTAATCTCTTCTATAAATGAGAAAAACATTCCCTAACCTCCAGCTAAGTTTGCTGACTTTCAAGGTTTATAACTTAAAATTCTTTGATTATTCCAGGTTTAATTGACTTGGAAAATCCAGACAGTTTTTTTCATAAGTCACTGAAACATTGTTGCAGAAATATGAATTCTTCACTGAATGAGCTCAACAAGGACTCATTAGGAAACTGATGAAAGAAGCTACAATTTAAGTTCCTACAAATCGTATTCAATTATCTTCCATAATTTAGGCTCTTCTCCATGCACAAACTGGGGGCTTCTAAGAGGCTCATCCATGGAATTATTGTCTGTTGCCTTTCAAAGATTTAACGTCGGGCTGACAATCTTTAAAGGTAACGGATATTTTTGGGACACATCATAGATCAGATCTTGAAATTCTCAAGGAATTTCATGCAGACATTACTGAGATATTAATGAACGAGAAAAAAACACAATGAATGATGCGAACTGTATGTAGCAAGGTGGAGAAATGGTGCTGGGTCCATATCATTTCGTTGGGAAAATTAAAGCCAAGAAGTTCCAAAAATTTAAATTAGAGCCGAAAATATATCTTTTTTGAGCTGTAATGAGTACCAGTACAAGACTGAGGGGGGGGGGGGGGTGATGATGAGTATGATCTACTAATGAGGTCTAGAAAAACCCGATACATTATGGATCACTCAGCGTGACCTCAACTTAGTATTCCAACGCAAACTGCCTGAGCTGAACGCTTTTCCCCTCAGTCTTGTACTGGTACTCATTAGAGCTCAAAAAAGGTCATTTTTTCGGCTCTAATTGAAATTTTTGGAACTCTTTGGCTTTGTTTTCCCAGCAAAATGCTGTGGACCCAGCACCATTTCTCCACCTTGATATCAAAGAATTAGTGCCAGTTTGAGAGGCCCAGTTTGTGCGCGGAGAAGAGCCTTTTGCATAAAGTAGGACAACTCTCCTGTTTTTTGGGAATAGCCTTTGTATGATTACACTTACTGCAATGGGTCAAAATAAGGTTTGAGATGAATCGCATGATGACAGGCTCATAGTGAAGCCCATCTTTTTTCATGTGTAACTGCTGCATGCGCATGTAAAAGTGGAGGTCAAGCACATCGTATCCGTAAGTGCCAATGATCTGCCTTGCATAGTTATTCGCTTCTAAGATCATGAACCGCACAAAACTTTCAAGAAAATGGATCTGTAAAAATAAGAGATCAATGGTTCAAATTTCATTCCCACTAAGCTAGGAATGTTCTATCAAATTTTGGTGAGCTATGGAAACATTTCTTTGAAAAATAGTGATGATAAGAAAACTAAGTACACCAATATTAATTTATTTGGCATATTGGTACACATCGGTAAACAATAAACATTATTATGGAAAAAGTCAGAGCACAACATTTGTGTCAAAGTTGTTACTTTGAAAATTCCTCTATGGTGCATCATGCTCTTGCAATTAATACACTTTTGGCTTTGTTAAAAAGCCCTTATTGTCCTTAATAACTTTCTTTGATTGATTTTGGCAGTTTATTATGAAGCCTAGCTGCTAGCAAACATAGGGTACTGCAAAGTCTTGAGAGTTTAACTGAGGACGGTTGTACATCACCACTTCCTCTGGTTCCATACAAGTGGGCATTTTAAAATGTAACAAAATGGTCATTATTTTCTCAGACCAATTTTAAATGTTCCAAAATGTAGATAGACACTCCGGATAAAAATCAATAGTACATGAAGTTGTCTTTGTGTCTTGTGTCGTAGTTTTCTTCAGACCAAAAACCGAGTTGAACAGTTGAACACCTTCAAACAAGATCTCCACTTGAAGTTAAAATTCCCTTCGGTTTTTTTTTTTGTTTTCGTTGTTAGTCTTTTCAAAAATTACCTGATGATGGCCTCTGCTGAAGCCGAAAGGGCCATAGTTTAAATAGTGACAACCGAAATTTGCATCGGGCGAAAAAGAAAGAAAGTAAGTGACCTCCAGTTAAGTTTAAAAATGTGGGAAAAATTAGGTGAACTACAGCCTCCTTCCTTAGTGTTTGAGTGTAATTTTTGATAATTTTCTCCGATTTTCAAACATTTTTGTGAGCAGTGAGGAAGGATGGGTTAGGTTATTGTACATTGAAAATCCTGCGAGAGAAGAATCTCTCACGCCTAGTATTTAAATACATATTGCTCAAGGTAAAAACTAGAGCTAGGTCTTTCCAAGGCAATTACATTTTCTAAAAATGCTGAACCCTGTCAAGCTTCCCATCAAAAAAGAAAAAAAATTGCATTTAGCCTGAATTTAGCCTTCAGTCTTTAGTGGCCTCGAATTTCTCACCTCGCATGGATTTTACCTTCTTGGCTTCCTCGTGTGCGTAGTAAATAACCCCGTAATGCTTCAATTGAACTTGCATCGATGTCTTTCAATATTAGAAAGGTGAGACAAGATAGTCTAATACCTCACAGTAGGTTTGCAGTGTCGAAAACTTTTAGCCAAATTTAGTTTGGAAGGAAAACAATTGTTTTTGGGTTGTAAGACTTAGAGAATTTTTTTCATCAAATTTTAAGATGTCAATTGAGAGGCTTGGAGGACAAGGTGTATAAGTGCAGTTTTTGCTATTTCAAGAAATATAAGTTTCAAGTTTCAAAATTACACGGAGCCTTATGGCTGGATGGAAGGTTAAACTCACTTTTAGATGCTTTAAAGTTGGGTTTTAGTTGTGAACTTTTTAAAAAATATACCTTCAAACTAGTTTTAGTTGAATTTATGAATATCTCCATTTTTTTTAAAGAACTGCACTTGTGCGTCTCGCCCTCCAAGCCCTTCAATTAGTCTCTTTCAAAACAATAAAAATAGGGCAGAAAATTGACTTGACATAAGCAATTAAGATATGGGTTTTACCATGGCAGTTTAAAGAAGAGATGGACATTAATATGATCAATAGCTGTTGCTGGACCTTACCTCTTCAACCAAAAAAACGCTCCTAATATGCCGAGAGACTGGAAGAGCCGTCAGCCACACGAACATGCATTTCTCCGGCAGACTACTTGATACAAGTTTCATCAAGTTGATCAGATTCTCTTTGAATAGGTCAATGCCCCTGGGTCCCCATCTTTGTGTCATCATCAAATTTGGTGACATAACATAAAATGAAAATATTAAGAAAAAAAAAAAAAAAAAAAAAAAAAAAAACAAGGGACACAAAACATTGAGAGCAGTAATTCACACTAAAGCGTCACTATCCTGACATTGAAGATTAATATATACAAATGAAAGTTCCAGATTAATATTAAAGTATACAGAGATACGTATACTTGTTTTTTTAGGCAAGAAAAAGAATACTAAGAAACATCACTCGAACTGTATGTAACAAGGTGGAAAAATAGTGCTGGGTCCACCTACTTTGCTATACGATAATTAGCCGCGTATCGTACACATCTTTTTTTCAAAATTTCGGCTCTCAAATGGAGGGTGCGTAAGATACGTGGGTGTTGCCCCAAGATAAGATGCCCTCTTTTTTTTCTCCAAAGGACCCCACAATTTGGGGTGCGCACAATACGCAGGTAAATACAGTAATTATTCTGATTTTTATGATTAGAATGATAAATTGATAACACTATTAATGGCCAGAATAAATTCATAATAGAGACATACATACATTAAGTCACGATAGAATTATGTTAGAATTACATAACTAAACTTCCAGATGAACATCATTGTCCATAAAACTCAAGGCTTTCTAGGGCTCATCCCAAAAGGTACCTAAGCTCTTCTGTTAGCTGAGCAACAAATTTCTTGATGAAAATTTTCATCATAAATTCTAAAACTATCAGGCGTGATTCATTATTTCTGTAGAGGACAGGTCACAACACTAATTTCTACAAGTGCCAACATGGCTACAAAAATGCCTTCAAATTATTGGGTAGGCAACAATTTTAGCATGAACTGGGTCCTGTTCAAATCGATTACTTCACAGGGTGACAATATTAAGTACCTATAGGAGTTAGTCACCAGAATTAAGTACATGCAAAAAACACTGAACAATCCTAAGACGTCTCAAAAAATTTAAGACAAAAGAAATCAAGATCATCATTTGTTATTTGCAAGCACACAAAAAACAAAAACCAGTAAAATCTAAACTTTAAAATTAGAAAATCTGTGGATAAAATTGTAACTAAATAAAAGATGTGTTCTCGATACTGTAAAGTTGCAAATCTCCAGTTATGTATGAAAAATTAGGAAATATTATTTTTTCTAAAATTTTGGCAATTCATGTTCTACCTATAAAGAATTTGGAGCCCCAAAATCACAGTATGTTTCTTAATAAAATGTTATCATTCTTTAAGCTCCTCAAATTTAAAAATAAGAACCATTGAACCTAGGTGCTGTGTTTCAAAATCTCCACTCCTATTTAATTTTTAAAAGATGACTTAACCAACATCATGGCTTGAAATTTATACTGAACATTCTTGAAAAATAAATAAAGTTTTTCAAGAACCGACATTTAGTAGTTTTCCCATGAAAAAATAATGTCCCTCACATAGATATGCATTATTGCAGTTTCACATTCGATTTATTGCCTAATTAACACAAAAAAACATGATTGAACAAGGCTTTCAAATACCTGCTTATATCCCAGATGGTTGAATTCATAATTATAAGATCATAATCCAGTTCACCACTCTTAATATCTTCAAAGATTCCAACTACATTATCAGAATAACATTGTGTGATGAATGAATACTCTATAAGAGTATCGTAATCCTGCGATAAAAAAAATGATGGTGAGACGAAGATTGACAATGTTGAAAAAAATTCCTTGGTGAAAGATGGGATCTATTTCATTGGAAGTGATAGAATACAACCATTTTACAGAGAGAAAGAACCAGCCTTAGCGAGGCTACCTACTTGAATTTTTGTTCTGAACATCATCAGAATACTTAGACTTTTAAGTTTTAGGAAAAAGGTATCCTAGTTTTTCATGGAGATGAGACAGTGCTTTGCCAAAAATCGTTTGTGAAACTTCCAAACCAGAGCGTCAAAAAGAGGATTTGTTAAAAAATAAAACCAAGAAGGCTTGGCCGGTTGAGTTTCAGACATGGTCTTTAGAATTCTCGACCATGCTAATTCCTGATTTTTCCCTGTTTTTCAGGAACAAGTTCTGAGATGAGAAACAAAAGTTTTTTCTCCCAGTTCCCCAGGATTTGCTTCAGAAAACTATTCAATCGTCCAGAATTAAGGATATGAAAATTGATTTTTTTTCATTTTTCAGCCGATTCTTTAGCACTCATTAAATTTTTCAATTCGAAAAGTATCCTTCATGCTAAATTATCTAATTGATAAAAGTTGCTCCATTATTCTGATAATTTGATGCTTCAAACACGTCATTCAAGCAAAATGAGAGGAAATTCTCTGTTCCTAGAATAGGTACCCTGATTTTTCATTCCCTAATAAATCTCGATTTTTCCAGTTTTAGACACCATGATTTCAAAGAGACAGATCAGGATTTCCTCAATATGCAAATTTGAGCATTCCACTACCTCATATTTCCTGAAACATGCAGAAAAAACAAAACTTACAGGGTCGTGATAGGAACGGTCCTCAGTGAAATCTCTCCCTTTGTGTAAGCGATCACCTTTGACTATCTGGTCCTTAGCATGTGACCTTTCTAACTGTAAAAAAATCAAAAGTTGTAAAAATATAGTGTAAGGCAAAATTACCCAGGCAATCTGCCCAGCAAAACAAAAGCGAAAACTGTTGCCACAACATTGTTTTTCGAAGTATCGTTGAGACAACATTCTGAAATTTTCTCACATGCTTTGCCAGGCGGGATGCTTGGCCAAGAAAAGACCATATTTGAATTTGTTTCTTTCTCCGCTTTATTATTCTCTCGGGCAAGCTTTGATCTAAAAAATTACTGACATCCACAAGCTTCACAAAATATTCCTTTCAGAACTTCTTGAAGAAAACGGTGCAAGTTGAACATTTCTAAATTTAGTTCATAAGTAGCATATATACCAATTTCAAACCTTCTGAACTGCAAACTTCCCTCAATTTAGTGCTATTAAATATCTTTATAATTAAAAAATTGGCTACATCGCTCCTTCTTTCAGAAAATAGAGGGTCCGAGCAAAAGGCTAAATCTTGAACATATGAACAATGTAAGTCAGTGATCACAGAATTCGGTTTACCACATCGCAGACTTCCTGTCATACTTTATTTTTTAAATGTTAAACTACTCAACTACAATCCTTCAAAATTGCTGTGATTTTTCTTCTCTGAGCAAGAAAATTCTGCAAAAATTTAAAGGAATAATGTCAATTGTTCTCCTTTAAAAAAATAACATAGAGGCAGAGATTTTCACTCACCGCAAACAAGATATGTGATTGCGGACTTACACCGTCGATATGCTGGTAGATGAAGTTAAATTCTGGAATGACAGACATATACAGGGTCCACAACAGCCCTTTTCATCAAATCTGCACCCCTCTTTCCACCTATCTCTCCTGAAGTGGGGCCTTTCTATCATAAAAGGAAATTTTTAACCTGGTTTGAGTGTTACTTAAGTTAATTATTACCCTCCCTCGGATAAATGTATGGCCTCACCATGGAATTGCATTTATAGTTATAAAATTATTTGCTTACCTTCTGTTTCAGGGCTGAATCTGGAATTAACTTGTTGTGCTGAACAAACCAAACCAGATCTTTGTAAACCGATCGAATATCTGGAACGAGTAGAATTAACTACATCAATTAAACATGCATTTTACTAATTTTGAATTGGGGGAGGGAAGAAAAAGAGGAAGAGGAGCACGGTATATCAGGAAGGCACCAACTCTAATTTGGAAAAAAAAGGTTGATTCTTGGGTTGTTCATCTACTCCTTTCCATTATGTAAGAAGGCAGGCCAGACGGTGTCTTACAAATCAATCAGTAATTTCAGACCAATTGTTATAACACCTAGCATAGCTATTTTTCTGCCTGAAGCTGCAATAGCTCCTGAAATAAAGCATAGACAGGCTTGCACTATTCACAACTTGATCACCACTTACGAACAGGAATATCATTCTCATAATCTGATGAAAATCACAGATATCATTGCCTGAGGATTGTTAGATCATCAGATGAGAATTCTCGTCTACATAGTAAGCTGTCACTTAGTCAAAATAATCATTGATATTTAGGATAAGTGATGACAGTGAACACAAGATCGGAACAGAAAAGAGCTACTCGAAAAATCAATACCAAGCATTTGGCATTGCTCTAGACGATACAATTTATTCAATTATGATGGGATTCACAAGGAAATGCAAAATTCTCTACTGTAGGGTGTGCTCTATTAAAGAAAAATGACTCCACTGCGTTACTTAATGGTGATTCGAAGCGTATAGGCCGAAAGTGCATGCTTCAATCTCACCCGAGGTCTCCCATCGGACCAGACCAGACCAGCTGATTGACAGCAGCTAACTCACCGTTAAAAATAGTAAAAAAAGCTTAAAGTACTGGCATAGCAGGCTAAGAATGAGTGCTTAGAATGCAACAGAGATAACTCACTGGAATCGCCTAGTAGGAGGACTTTTTTGCCCGCCAACAGCTTTTGGGCATCAATACTCCTAAACCGATCAGCCATGGTGTCCAAATCTGGTCAGTGCAGAACTTAGAAACGCAAATAAATTCAAATTTAAGATGACACTCAACACTTTAATTAATTGTAAAGGGTCAGAGAAAAACTATTGCACTGAAAATCACCACGAGGAAACAGACTAAAACAAAAGGAATGTGATTACCAACGCTCTGTCATCTGATTCTGATAACGGCGCTGAAACTAACAACAACACGACCACGAGGTTTGGACTGACCATTGTTGCCGTTGTGAGCTCCGATATAAACATTTTAATAAAACTTTCAACCTCGTTGATGGACATTCAAACAAAAACTATGTACACGATTAGAAGAAATCATTTTATGAACATGCCACAGTAATACCATCGAGAGCTAAAATGATTTTTTGATTAAATTCTGACGACATATCTGGAGAGTAAAAAGGAGCCAACCGGCAACACTGAATAAGAAGGATTCTGCTTCGCTCGTTTATTTTATGAGAGGCGAGGCTGTGCGGTGTTGTCTAGTCAGTGATTTTATTGATATTTTTATGGTGTCATTCCTCAAAAACTGGCCCCAGCGATGAGTTTCATGAAGCAGAAAAATTAAATTTCAAATTGAAATTTCTGTAACATCAATTAAAATTTCGTGCAATTTTTAAAACTTCTACATATACCTACTCGGTATATCATAAAACGCATAGAAATAGTAAAATCTTAATTTTGAAATGTTGAAAAAAAGGCAATGTACCTACTTAGTGTATTTCTCTTGGAAAATACACCCAAAGCATTCTAATTTCGAACTCTTATTCCATTTTTCCGCGGCAAATCAGATAATTCGTTGCATGTAATAGGTAATAGAAACTTGGATCGAAAGAATTGAGAGTTTTTCAAGATTTTCCGCGGTAAAATGCATGTGATAAATTTTCAGATGTTTCCATGATGTACCCACAAAGATTTCAGCAGCCTAACTGGGTGGAAAAACATTTCATTACCTGAGGAAATTTTTTCTCCATGTTTCTGTTGATAATATGGAAGTGTAAAAATCGAGAATTTTCGTACCCTGTTGCGTGGGTCAATGATTCCCCTTCAATCAGCCGGCTATGCAAAATGACTGTCGTAACGCACGAATAGTGGTATCAGAATTTCGCATTAAGATTACACAGTGGGTTGAAGGCGCTCTTCTGTATCGCATATAAGTAGCCCCGTACAACGATGTTGACCAAAAATGTTCAGAATTTTGGAGTCTTCATTAGATACGTGATATTGAAAAATGCCTGAAGAACATGATTGCGAGTTCCAATATTTATAGATTATAAGTTTTATTTTAAAAAAGAGACTCCATAAGCTTGGTTTAGATTGTGGTCTTTAAAGTATTCTTGCTTTGATCATCGTATTCTCATGCAAGGCTGAGAGAGTCGCCATTTTCAAGATCGCAACTTACTTAAAAAATGAGTTGCGCACGGATAAAATGAGCTTTCGGCGATGAACTGTGAATAATCAGAATTGAAGAAAAGGTACTTTGTCCACTGGTCCATTTGAAAGGCGTAGATCTTAGATGGATGGAGCATAGATGTCCTTCGGGCAGGGCCGGATTTACCAATAGGCTACATAGGCTGTAGCCTATGTAGCCTGTAGCCGTCGATATCGACGGTGAAACTACCAAACCACGTATCTCGTTTGCGGTGTTTAAAAATCTACGCTCACATTTTATTTTTTTGAAGTAGACCAAATCAATATCATTCCTTGAAATTTTCACAGAATTTTCTCTGCACGAAGAGGAAAAATCACAGAAATTTTCAAGACTGGACGTTAATGTAGTTTTTCATTTAAAAAATAAAGTATGGCAGGAAGTCTGCGACGTCGCAAACCGAGATACGTGGTTTGGTAGTTTCACCGTCGATATGGTAGAAATTCGAATCCTTTTGCGATAACTGCCCTGGTAAAAATTGGCGATAGGTGCTGCGTTCCAAAATACCATAGGAGTTCTTATAGCCGACTGAAGAGGGCGATAGAGAATCATATAGCTAGCTGTAGAAAGTGGAAAAAATCATACGGCCGGGCTACACGAAACGATAAAAAATTATACAGCCAGGCTATAGTTCCTATCGCCGGGCTTTACACTTTATCGCCTGGCTGTTGCTTTTTCGCCATCGGCTACAAAAGGCTATAAGAAATCGAGTAGAAATTCTTGTGCTTTGTAAATCCTTAAGTTTGTGCGGAATCACCTTAATATTTACAAAACGCACATTATGTTTTTCTTTACTACATATTTTTTTTTTTTTTTCATCAATTAAAATGAGAATAATCCATACAGAGTGTGCAAACATTTCAAAGTCATGAGTTGAAAAACGCTGACTCCGCGAGATTAAATATTAGAGCCTAACACAAAGCGGAGCGGCGGCGCACCGGGAAACAAACCTAACAGGGATACTTCACGCATTGCGCAATGCGTGAAGTATCCTTGTTAGGTTTGTAGGCGCCGGTGCGCGCCGCAGCGTACCGCGGCGCTTGAATAAAAGGCTATAAGAAATTGTGTTGCCGGCTATAGAAGCTATTGGAAATCTTACAGCCGGCTGTAGGTCTATGGTATTTTGGAACACAGATTCTACTGCCAATTTTTACCAGGGTGCCCGCGCACCGACCATGGGCTATAGCTGACGCTCAAATTATACGTATCGGGACCGTCTCGCCAGAATTGTTGATTTTTTAACTGATTTTATAAAATTTGTTCCTAATTTTTGTTCTAGAAGTTGCAAACGGTCTAGTTTTTTGTTCAATTGTATTAAAAGACTCAGCATTGACTTACTTTTGGTTTATTTCAATCGTTTCACTAGCCTTAACCCTCCCGAAGACTTTGTTTCATGCATAAAAAAAACGTTTTCAGTAAAAACAGCGGATGTCACATTTTTTTCAAATCGCTGTTCCTCCTTCAATTTTCTCTTACATAGATCGCAAAACGTGTGTTTAATACAGAAAGGGTTGCTCTTCATGAAAATCTTTATAAGAATCCTCTCGGTTCTACGGGCGGCAAAGTGCAAAGCTTCGAAAACTTCAAACGCGATTTTCTCACAATGTGGAAACTCGAAATCCGCTATGGTTACAGATAAGTCCTCATATGTGCCAAAGTGTTGGAGGAAAATAGAAAAAAAGTATTACCTTTATAATTTTTTGAGGATCCACGCACTATGCAGAGACGATATAATATTCTAGAGACTACGCACTGCCTTCTTGTCTATGGTGTAAAAGTTACTCAAGGAAGCCAGTTCTCTGATTCACTTACTCACAATACTCATGGTATTGGATCAACTAAAGCTTCTAAACAAGTTTTAAGTATGAATAAACTTTATTTTTGATCTTAGTGATCAAGAGCAGGTTCAAAACGCTAATTACGAGAACGCGTATCTGGTGATGAAATGTCATATTCCAATCATACAATGCTTGATCTAGCCATAAGAGATCAGACTAAAATTTATCTGATAAGGAACTGTAAGCATGAAACTCTTTATTCAGTCTTTAAATTATCCAAATCTGCCAACAACAGGTTTAAATAACTGATTGCAAAAATGCGCATCTCGCGTGATAAAGTGCCAATTCTTAGTGCCGAAAACGCGAATCTCGGCATTTCTGCCGTATTTTCTAACAGTTCGAGAAATTATTCAAAATGCTGATTCTTAAAAAAGCATCTTATTCTTGCTATCCTCAAGAATTATTCGCCTTCTACTAACAATAAAGAGGAATGTAGACAGTTTTTTTTTCCTCTCCTGGAAAATCGTGTTTTCCGAGATCTGCACTTTCACCATCGATGTTCCATGTACTCACATTAATATCAGCAGCTAAACCAGAAGGACAAGCACCGGGTTTCCCGTAGATAAAGTATTTCCGAGTTTTAGTTTCAGAATTTATGACCCTGTAAAGAACCCTGAGTTTTCCGGAATTTTCCCCGATTAAATGTAATAATTTGATATTTTTTTTTTTTGTACTTTCAGGATGTATCTCCATTAAAATTGCAGCAGATAAACCGGATCCTTGTTCACGATAAAGTTTGACGATTATTTTCATTCTCAAAATATTTTTTCTCGACTAGGCTTTATGACAGGGGAAAATTTACAACTAGTAGAATTCAACATTCCCCCGCGCTCACCTATCTACAAAATCCAACTTGATGAGTTGTAAGTTAAACTCTATCCGATAGTCTAATCGAGCGATAATACGAGTGCGCAACAGATTTCGCCTTCAATTATTTATCTATGCAATCTCGGCTACTCGGAGGTTGATATAATTGTATCACACACTTAAAGCCGCATGAAGTTTTAATTGCAGCTGTGCTAAGTAAGAACGTCGTATGAGACATCGGGCGTCGCCAAATTGCATTTGACAAATCACGAATTCAGGGAAATTTCTGTATATTACTCTTCCAATTTACAAAGGATTTCGTTCGTTATTTGATCTACGAAGTCTGAAATTTTCAAGGCAAAATATTCAAGGCTTTCTTTAAGAATAAATATTTTCTGAGAAGAAAGGCAACATTGGAATGACCATACGGTGTTTTCACTTAGCACGGCAGACTGAGGTTTGAAGTTTTGCACCTCCACAAGAGCAAGAGTCCATAATAAGAACAAAGTTTGATGATCGTTTTTACGCTCAAAATATTTTTTCTCAACTTTGAATTTTTGACAGCTATCGGAAAATTTCCGACTCTTTAAATCGACCACTAGACAAGGTGCGCATTGCAGCTAGAGTCCCTTCATACCCAGAGTTACGACAACTCACTTTTGGTTGGGCCAGGGTTGGGCTGAAAGTGGCCTAAAAAAAATCCAATTCTGATTGGTTCTCGCTCATGGAGACCGAAACGAGTGCACCAAGATGGCGGTACCTCGTATGTGAACAAGAATAATGAAAATATTACCTAATTGTGGTTTATCAAGAGTAAATTGTTATTGCCATCGGTCCAAAATGAAAATAGATTAAGGTGATTCGTCAAGCTCAAGTGACGTGGTCGAACTGGCATGCGATACATCGCATCTTTTAGGTAAAAAATCTCGGCAGATTTTGAATTTTCAGCAAAAAAAAGGACGATAGCCCCTGCGCATGAGGCTGAAGAATCATTCTAAACCCAAAAATCGGCAAAATTCAGAGAAATGAAAACAGGATAGTGTTTGGAAAAAAACCTCGCATTCGATACCGAAATCGATAGCTGAATCGAATGCGAGGTTTTTTTCCAAACACTAT